CCGTGCTGATTAACAATGAGCTGGTCTGTCACCCCAGGTCGTGTTATCGTGCAAAGCCATATCTCACAAGCGTGGTATTCGAACCATTGTCTAGAACCGCCACGGCTTCGAACATGCCACACGGACTTTTCAATAAGATTGGCATTATTCACGAAAACGTGCGCCGAAAAATTGACAGGGATTTACAATTGTTCGTTCTTAGATACGTAGCGGAAAAAGACGATGCATTTTAATGGGTATTCATCATGTAAATCTGGTTTCTAAAGTGTAGGAGGTGAGAATACGAAATTTTTATTTTGTATGCATGCATACAAATTAAAACACTTGCAAGTTAAGTGTTTATGTTCACTAATCAATGTTCTAATATGGGAAGGCTTCTGCCACTAAGATAAGATTGTCTTTTAAAAGGGTTCTAAATATTTTGATCAAGCATGGTGTTAATAACAAAAGAGTTATCCAGTCCAATCTGTTTTTATGATAAATATTTACATTGGTTAAATAGTATAAATTTTAATTTGAGTGAATTGTGCACTATTATGATTATAAGTGCATCCATGTATCTGGCTTCGGACATGATTAGGTAAAAGTCATTTGACATATGGCCGTATGCGGGAAATAATATGGGAAACTGATGATAATTGGGAGTATAATATGCTGTATCATACAATACCGAGGGCTGAATCACTAGGTATTTACTTTTTTGCAACATTTTGAGCGCTGACAGGACAACGCCTCGGGTCCAAGCCATCTAGTGCTGAGAGGTAGGAATCTGGTTATATCAGGCTGTATCAGATGGAGGTTCGTTAAGAAGCAATTACGGTACCGTTATAGTAAACAATCCGATGAAGAATTCAGTCAGACATAATCATCAATCATTTAATAGAATAATAGAGAAGGGTAGGAGACAGGTATCGCTTCGGAGCCGGGCACCTCACAGTTTAGAGAGATTAGGATTATCGGCAACGCTCTTTAGCTAGGAGGGGTAAGTCCCCCTTTGGTATTGCGCTCAGGGTTGAGATGTTAGTTGAACCATCAGTGGTTATTTGTAAAAACATATGTTAGGGGCAACATAGCAGATGCATTGCTGGTCACCCATATGAACCCTTATTTGTGGTTCATTCCCTGTTTGCAGGGCTGGTCGGCGGCCATGCACCGCCATTGGTGCCTTTAACCCGTATGATTTAGGGCGCTGCGTCTTACTGTGCCACTTCTAGGAGACTTTGCTGCCTAACTCCCTCATTTGGGGGTGTGTTGGTTTCCTTCAGCTTATCCTGTATAAGTTGGGTAGCGGGGTTGTGGATATTGTCGTATGGTTCAAGAATTAATGACAATTCTGGGGAAATGAAGAACAAGTGAAAGTAACGGCAGCATGTGAGGCAACCTCATAGATCTTCTTTGGAACACATAATTCCAGTTTTCTGGTCACCTTACACTTGAGTAACTGAACCTTGGGTGTTGTCTAGCTGAACCCAGAACTTGCTAACCCTATACCCTGGGTCCTTGTGGTTTTGGAGTTGGAGTTTATAAAAAGAAGGAGATGAGCTATGAAGGCTAAAAAATGTGTTTAAATTATAAATAGACGACAGAATGCTTTACAGTGTCTAGAAGAAGTCGTGAGTATTCTAATCAGAGGCTCAACAATTTAAGGCAATAGGATTAAACACTTGTCTAGTGCATATATTTCTGACCTGTAGCATAGATTATTGTGTAGGTCAACATGATTTCAGGTAGTGTCAATGTCGTCTGAGTGCATTCCTCTTGCATGGTTGCTGGATAATTTCTTGTTCACAGTGAATTGCAACATAGTGAAGCCGTCATCTATCCAGCCACAGAGAACATATGCAGGGATAGCGTAAAGCTTCGCGTTCAGGTCCAAAATAACTTCAATGAATTCGCATCTCAGTTTTTTGTTCACATGCTTCTTTTTTCTACTCAGCATTGTTCCTGACTGCATAGCAGACATCCTCGTTCTTCTCCACTGGTGGTATTACATATCATTCAGCAACTAGTCGGAACACCAGCCCAGCTGTGTATTATCGCTCCTTGGGAAACCATGGATTTTAATTTATTCAATTCTTGAAGAAAGAGAAAAGAAACCGACAGTCTGGGCTCTGTCCCAGCTGTTTATCAAAACACATTATGAAAGAGGTGTTACGAGCAGCATACTTTGGGCTCAGGGTCTTAGGTGACTGTTCATCAGGGAATCTCCGAGCACTCAGAATATCTAATAGCTCAGACCAGTTTCATAGGCTCAATCTTCTGTGATATGGGGATTCACAAGCTGTATGAGATTCCGAACCGTGAGGTATTTAATAATTTGGATCTTAAAAATTGACGTGTTGAATAGTACGTATGGTCTGAGGTAATTTGTTCCATAAAGCGGCGTACTTTACCAGAAAAAAGTTAGACCTCATGGCCATCCTGGATAGGGGAGTAGTGACCATGTGATATCCATGTCTAAGATAATAAGGTGCGTCAGTACTTTCTCTAATTTGCAGGAATGATTCGAGAGTCTTATTTTTATGAGATTATGGGAAAAGATCAGATTCAGCCTCATCCGTCTAAGCCATGGTGGATCGATATGGAGACTCTCACAGCGCTGTTTATAACTCAGTTGACACGAACCCTTAGTAAGGCTTTTTGTCAGGGAACGTTGGTTGTTTCCAATGGCCACTCTATCGTTTTGTCGTTTTTCAGAGTGGATTATCGAGCATTATTCTGACATTGATTGTACGTGAGTCTTATAAGGAACTAAGATGCTTCTCTGAAGTCGAAAGGACCTGTGCAGCATACCTATGATTCGTTTGGCTCCGGCAATCTGAACCAATGTATGTTGTGAGAAGGTAAAGGAACATGGATGAATACTGCAAATATGTGTCCCTTAGGAGTAGGTTATTTGGGATTTTCATAGCATCTAGGTCGAATGTACCTGGACAATTACGTCATTTAAAAGTAAGTATATTGCTTTTCTCCGCAGAAAAATACAGTGATGTCTCCAGCAACTAAGCGCACTCAAGTCTTCAATTGTTTTCTACGACTAAGTTTAGCTTCTTTGGATCAAAAGAATATACGATTTCGTCGGCAAACAGAAATAGAGTGCCATGGTGGACGACAATAAATACATTATCAATATGGATCAAAAAAGAGCGGACCAAGAACGCTGCCTTGGATCACTCCACCCGTGACAGATTTAGGGTTTGAGTATGATCCTGCTGTCGTGTTGAGAGATTTGATGCCAACCAACTGAGTAATGAGTCGGCGATACCATAAGATTTAGCCTGACATACAAGCCTTGTTTAAGACACCCGATCGAAAGCCTTTTACATGTCTAAGAGTAGGATAATTATAGACCTACCTCTATCAGCCGCTGCAGTGACAGTGTTCAAAAAGTCAACCTGACATATTGCACACGAACGATTTTTAAGAAATCCATGTTGCCCTGTATTAAGCAGGTTATTTAATAAAAGTTGGTCCATAATTATACTTTTTACTATCCTTTCCATAATTCTGGAAATAATTGGAGTGTGGTAGTCTTCCACTTCATAAATGGATTCTTTCTTATGCAAAGGGATAATTATGGATGTTTTTCATTGTTTAAGGTATATATCGAACCTCATAGATAAATTAACTAAATTTGATAATATTATGGGAATATCTGGTCCTTCATAACTAATGATGGCTGGAGGAATTCCATCAGGGCCAGCTCGGTATGAGAGTTTGGTTGAAAATAATAGTGGCGTAATATCACTGGGATGAAAAGACACTACTGACAGACTCTCTCAAGAAAAACATACCGGGGATATATTAGCTTGAGGAAGGTCCTTTGTTAAAGAGGAAGCAAAAAGGTTGTTGAATGCCTCACATATGTCCTCTGGGTCACCTATATGCGATTTGTTGTAATTAATGAAAGGGATATCTTGATGAGGTTTGTGATTTCTAATTTTCATAATTTTTGATAGAATTTCAGTCTTTTTAGGATGACAGAGAGCTGTATCTGAAACCAGTTACCATACGTGTTGATGGATCTTGATGAAACG